AGGGTTTAGGGTTTAGGGACTCGTTGGGTCGAGCCAACAATCAGCTGCCCCCACCCGATATGGGTTGTTTCGAGGTGAGGGTTTATGATTCTTAGGTTTTAGAGTTTAGAGGTTATAGGGGTCTAGGGCAATTTCTGGGACTTTGGAACCCTAAACCCTAAACCCTTGCAGGGAGCTTGCTATTTAGGAATCTAGGATCTATCTTAGGCTCGCTTCCTTGTGCTCTGAACTCGGAAGCCGAACTAAACTCTCGTCTAGGGGCCTAAATAACTAGCAACACTATTTTGGGGGTTCCTTAGTATAATCATAGTATGATTATAGTATAAGTATAGTAACAGTATAAGTATAGTCTAATTATAGTATAATTAGAGTATAAGTATAGTATAATGGGCCCGAAAACTTTTTCTAATTATTAAGGCCCCTATATAAACAAAACCCTCAGCCCCCCGCACCTCTTGTTCTAACGGCAGAAGTCTCTGGACTTCCCCAGGAATGCCGAGCTCGCGAACGGCAGGCTGGCCCGTAAGAAACCAAATCAGGGTCCAGGGTTTAGGGTCTAGGGTTTAGGGTTTAGGGTTTAGGGTTTAGGGTTCAGGGTTTAGGGTTTAGGGTTTAGCGTTTAGGGTCTAGGGTTCAGGGTTTAAGGTTTAGGGCTTCGGTCCTAAACCCTACATCTTTGCTCGTACCAGGGTTTAGGATCAAGGGTTTAGGGTTTGGGGTTCAGGGTTTAAGGTTCAGGGCTTAATGTGATTTCAACCCTAAGTCTTTTGGCTCGCCCAGTAGTACTCTTTTTGTACTCCTTTGTGTGTGTGGGGTCTAAGCCGAGTCTATGATATTTTCAGGTGGGTAGTTACCGTTGTAGGAGCCTTGCAGAAGGTCTATATACCTTATGGAAGCCTTATAGAAGCCCTAAATACCCTAAACTCCCCACCTGTAGTTTCCTTCAACTGAGAAAAAACCGGGGTGCCCGAAGTTTAAAGGGCTTCTGGGAACCCACTTCTGGTCCAAAGCTGCAGCTGCGCTCTCCTTTCGAAGTTCTGGCTAGCCTTACGAAAATGGGGCCTTCTTCAGGGGCCTCACGATAAGGTTTAGGGCTTGGGTTTAGGGTTTGGGGTTTAGGGTTTAGGGTCGTGAGGTTCCTTTTGTTTTTTGGTGCCTATATTTATATCATATCGTTGCCAAGCCAGGTTGGCGATGATGGCCATCATCGGCATGCCTCCTGGGTGAACGGTGGAGTGTGGATTTAATGTGAGCCAAACGATCACAGTTCGGGATATTCGGGGCTTGGATTGTAAGTTGGGGTTGGAGGTTCGGGCTTGGAAGCTTGGGAGGTGACGGATTGTCGAGTCTGTGTAGTCTGTGCTTCTGGTTTTTCGTGGCAGGATATGAGCGTTTAGGGTTTTGAGGTTCGGGAACCGCCGGTGCTTCAATCGGAAACACACTGCCGCAAGATGCACGAGTCCAGAATCGAACAGCCTCGAATCGTCGTGCGAAGCTCCTTCTGCCAAGGTTCTTCCAGGACGGACTCACAGGATCTGCGCCGCTGGCTTTGTGATTGGGAAGATTCTACCATGAATGGTGAACTTCGAAAAAGCCGTCAACCATAAGCACTACAAGCAAGTCCTATGAACTAGACTTTGGGACCAAAGTCCTATAGTGCACTCAAACAAAACCCCAAGCCTTAGATCCTAAATCTCTGAACCCTAACCCTAAACCCTAAACCCTAAACCCTAAACCCTAAACCCTAAACCCTAAACCCCAAAGCCGAGGCCTTAAATCCCACTCTGGGGCCCAGGTGGGGCGACTGGGCCAATTACACGGAGTCCCCTTTGAGAGCGAAGGCAGTCTGGGGTTTCCTGTGCTTTAGGGTTCAGGGTTTAGGGTTTAGGGTTTAGGGTTTAGGGTTTAGGGTTTAGGGTTTAGGGTTTAGGGTTTAGGGTTTAGGGTAACATAAGTCATATAGGGGCCTTAACAGTTACCTACACTATTTTGGAGTGGTTCCATATTCTATTTATAGCAAGATGGGCGCCGAAACCCTATTAGAGTTTATTAAGGGCCCCTACTCTAGGGGTCTGAAAAAATTGAGTAAGGCTACGTAAACCCCTATGGAGCATCATCATAGGGGACCTTGTCTTAGGGTTCGAGTTGGAGTACCGCGATTGTGGACTTGCGGGTTTAGTGTTAACCCTAAACCCTAAACCCTAAACCCTAAACCCTAAACCCTAAACCCTAAACCCTAAACCCTAAACCCTAAAGTTTACAGTTCACGGCTTCCCGTTTGGAGCGGTCTCAAGGGTCAGGATTCAGGGATCAACGTAGGGGCCTAAATATTAGGGTTTAGGGTTTAGGGTTTAGGGCTTAAGGGCTCCTATAGTTATAGTATAAGTGTCCTCTAATTATGAAGGCCCCTATATTCTGGGTTGCGGCTTTGGGATTCTCTGGCTTTAAGTTGAAGGTGTCGGACTAGGGGGCATAGGGTTTAGGGTTTAGGGTTTAGGGCATAGGGCTTTGCGGGTTGAGGCGGCCTTGGGCTATGGGTTGAGCAGATCAGCCCAAGCATGAGCTCGCAACCCAACACTCCTGAATCCGAGAAATATGGGGGCTTGGGTTCTGCCTCAGGGGTTCTTAAGGTAGTAAGAGTGTCATTTTCCCCCAGCCTCTTGAGATTTTTGGAGGTGCCAATCTTGCAAGCAGCAAGCAGAATGCTGGAGAGGCCTGAGATCAACGGCCATTGGGCCATGCCCCTGCGTTGAAAGTCTGGGGCTCAGGCGATGGGTCTGGGGTTGTTAGGAGGGTTTAGGGCCGTTTAGGGTTTAGGGTTATCAGGCCTACTGGGATTTTTAGGCCTTGCTGCCTCTCTGTGATGCTGTGAGTTCTGAGCCTCACAAGATTCCGCGTGGGGAGAGAGGGTGTAAAACCAGTAGGAGCCCATCCTTGAGCTATAGTCCATACAGTATGTAGTTGGCGTTATGACAGGACCGTTGAAGCAGCCTTTCAAGCTTTTTTGAATAGGAACTTTAAAGAAACTTTTAAAGTGATAGTAGGAGCTGTAACGACACCTGTAGAGTTATAGCAGGACCTTTGAAGGAGCCCTGTAAAGGAAACTTATTGTAACAATAAGGCCCCCTACGCTACTTGAACGAAGGGATCTCTGGGAAGCTCAAAGCCTTCGGATTGGAGTGCTTGTGGTCAAAAATGTTTCGGGATCAGGCGCAAGGGTGTAGGGTTCAGGAGTTTAGGGNNGAGTTTAGGGTGTAGGGAGTAGGGCTTATGGCCCAGAGCCTAGGATCTAGGGCTTCGAGTTTACGGCTTCGGCTCTGGGTGCAAGGTTTAGGCTTTGGCTTAGAGTGCAGGTTTCAGGGCTTAGAGTCTATTGGGGTTGAGGATTTGAGCCGGAAACCTTCAGCGAATCCCGACTTCCCAGACATCAGGCCTCACTCATGGCTTTGGTGTTGCGTTGTATTCTGTGTCTTCAATACATACATACATACATACATACATACATACATACATACATACATTAATGCATGCATGCATGCATGCATGCATGCATACATACATACATACATACATACATACATACATACATACATACAC